AGTTCCTCAACCTTGAGTCGATGTGTTCAGTCCATCAATCTTGTAGAATGTACAGCATAGGGCCGTAGACGTGGCTTATATACTGTAGTGAGGTGAGGTGAAGCAGGCGGAGGCGGGGTCATAGTGGTACCAACCACTAGTCGAAGTAGGTCTTCGTCCAAAGGTTGAACAAGTGTTGAAGAATTCTTTGTAACAAGATCCCATGATGCTGCAGCATCATGGTTTTTCAAACCATTGATCACATACCCAAGAGTTGCACATGTGTCTAATTTATCAACGTGTCGGTTCTGTGAACCAGTCATCTACAAGCAACAGCCAGGTTGACTAGGCAGTTTAAGAGTTGAGGATACACGGCACAAATAATCCGCACATAGGAAACTTATTACGACGTTTTGGACGGTATTATGCCTTTTTATTCTTTAAGAGAGAGGGTCGGAGTTTACCTGGAGTCACTTCCGGAGGTCACCACCCCTTCGGCCCGGCCCCAGACCAGGCCTGGTTGCTGGTCTGATCGATCAAACTATTAGTGCCCGCCGCCCACAGTCCAGCGTAAGCATCACAACTCAGCTGAACAGGAATTGTTGTTGAGGAACCTGTCGAGTTCCTTCTTTAAGACAGCTAAGAGTTTGTTGGTAATTTCCCTTATGGATGAAAGGAGGGTGTTCTCTTGTAGTTACCGTTCCCCGCGCTTTTCATTGGAGGTGTATCCTGCACAGTCTGCCAAGCCTCTTGTGTTCACAGGTAGTAATTTCAGTACGCAGGTTTGGGACCAATCCCTCTAGTATCTTCCGGGTATAAATTGTGATGTATCTTTCTCGCCTACGTTCTGAGGATTACAGTTGTAGGGACTTCAAGCGTTCCCAGCATTTTAGGTACTTGACTTGAGTTTATACGAGCTGTGAGGGTTCTCTGTCTCTACATTTTACATTTTCCAGCTCAGCAGTGTCGCTTGCCTTGAAGGAGGCAGTCAGTACACAACAGTATTCTAGTGTATAATTCATATGCTATTTTACTTGCTTTCATATGCATCCAAGATCATGTCAGAGTTGTCCAAGAATTGCGTAAAGCAGAAGCAACCTGTTCTGAACCCATGTTGACCTGTGTTTTGCATATGCTGCGATTCCAGGTGATTAGTAATCGTTAGCCTGGGGCAGAGTGCATGGGCGTGTAATTAATGGTTTCTTCAAAGCCAAGTGGAGTTAGTATTATATCAGATGAGGGAGAGGTCTTATTCATGATGAACTCATATGGGTTGTCAGTGTTTGGGTCAGTTAGTGGCTTACTGAACACTGAGTCGTACTTAGACTTAAGTATTTCAACCATTTCTTTTTTGTAAAGTAAAAGGACACAAGTGCATATTGTCGGTAATTCTACCAACATTATTACATTTATTTTTTGTCATCAGTGTATGTCCTATCTCCTTTTATCGAAGCCCCAATATTAAATGTTTTTGATCTGAATTTTGCACACGAGAAGTATTTTGGATTTCTGTTAATTTCACTTACATCTTTTAGCTTCCTCTGTCTCCAGGACTCTGTATGATGTATTTAATTTGAGCTCAACCCTTTCTAATAATTTATCCAGTGTTACTTTTCGTTCTTCAGAGTCTGGTGCCCATGAGGAGCTCTTTACGTCGTCTTTGCTTGTACAAGGTACGCCTCTCCCTTTCCAACCTACACCTTTTACTTTTCAACTGTATGTGTCTGGAGCAAACCTCTGTTGGCCACTGAACTCATCCTCTTGCTATATTGGTTTAGGTTATCGTCTGCCATATTGTCTTTCAGCATATTGCAGCAATCTCACTATTTATCAACTCCCAGTTGATGCATTGTTGTTAAAGTTAAATTTGTTGAACATTTCTTCTTAAATGAGTGTTTTGCTGATCATGACCAGTGGGTATACATGTCTAAACTTATAATAGGTTGTGGCTTAAGTTGCTGTCTTTGACGCTATAATGTTCCGAATCAGGTCTTCATTATTAGTGATAAGGTCTAAGATATTTTACAATCTAGTTGGTTCTATTTACTTGCATAATGCGAATTTGTCAGTCTTAGTAGTTCGGTTGTTGGAAAGTACCTGGGATTATTTCTATCACAGTCTTTTCTGCATTCTTCCATTTTTGGTGTCTTAAATTGACGTCTTCATGCAGTAGTATATTTCGGCTGGGTTTGATAGATGTTTCAAGACAATGCTCAGTTTTCAATAGCTGGTCTTCAAACTTCTCTGAAGTTGCATCTGGTGGTTTATATGCTGTTACAGGCTCACGTTGAGCCTGTAAAGCACCTAAACTACTGGGAACGCCTGCAAGTCTTGAACATGTATTCAATGGAGCGGAGGAGAGAGAGGTACATGATAATATATACCTGGAAGGTGACTTAAGAAATCGTAATGACACGATTGCAAATAAACCATACCCCCGGCTGGGATTGACCCGCGGTCAAAAGAGTCTCAAAAACTCCGCCGTCCGCTGACCACTAACCAGCTAGACTCTATGACCGCGGGTTCAATCCCACAGGGGTATGGATATATTTGCAATCGTGTCATCAACATTTGCTTAGTATGTTGCGGCAGTGAGGACTTGAGCAGGAGTTGACCGTACAGCACGCTAGCTGAGATTCGTCTGTAAAAACTGAACTTTGGGTAACAGAGGTGCTGTGCTAACTTTCCTATGGTGTAGAAATATACCTAGTTGGATGAATCTTATTGTGGCTAGCTGGTCTAGTGGTCACCGCGACGGGCTGGAGTTTTGAGACTCTATGACCGCGGGTTCAATCCCAGCCGGGGGTATGGTTTACCTGGAAGGTACTCGAAGGCCTGGTCCCAAATCTGCACACTGCCATAACATACTGGAGTGAGAGATATGGGAGGAAGTATAAAATAAACCCAGTGAAGAGCAGGGGTGCGGTGGGGACAATAAGGGAACACTGTGTCAACATCCGGGGTTCCAGACTATTCAACATCTTACCAGAAGATATCAGAAACACTGCTGGAACCAGTGTAGAAGCCTTCAAGAGGAAACTGGACAAGTATCTTCACCAGGTGCCAGATCAACCAGGCTGTGATGGATATGTGGGGCAGCGGGCCTCCAGCAGCAGCAGCAGCCTGGTTGACCAGGCAAGCACCAGACGAGCCTGACCCGTGGCCGGGCTCAGAGAGCAGATAAACTCTCGAAACTTTGCAAAGGTATATCAAAGGTATATATATTTATATTTTCAATTTTAACTGCTAGAGGTTCGACCACATCATTCCTGGTATTAGTTACTCAGTGCATATGATCAACTCTGACTTATATACTAACTGTCCCTTGTTGTCTAATTTTCCTATAGGAAAGCCTCTTAAGCTTGTCACAGGTGAATCACGAGTAAAAGCATATGCGGCAGAAATAAATATAATTATTCCTAATTGGTAAAATTAATTTTTTTCTTTTAATCCCCCTTAAAGGAAACATCTTGATGCTGGTGAAGGGCTCTTGATCCAAGGAATTGGACTAGCCTTCCACTTCCTTGGATCGAGCCAGATTGCATTTCATTCCTCAGGCGCTGTATGACGCCTATGGGTTGAGCGCCTCTCTCTAAATTTAATAATTAAATGATAAATGTCTGGATTTATATAGTGTAACCTGCGTGATGAGGCTATCAAGCAGGAGGCAGGAGGCAGGAGGCTTGGTCCCTTCCGAGTCACAGGCGATAACCTCCCGGAACCAACAAGTAAATAGGAAGTAATAAAATGTTATGAGAAAGACATGTAACAAATCAGTTCCTGATCAGCCGGGCTGTAGTGCATATGTTAGGCTGCTTGCAACTTGTTATCAACAGTTTTTGATGAGGCCAGCAACAGGGAGGTCAGGTCTGGGATCGAGCGGCGGGGGTGATGACCCCTGTAAACGTCTTAAGGTATACATTTTGTCACCTAGAGTGAAACGTGTATGCCAAGATTCACTGAGCACTATGGCCAAGTGAGGTATGAGAATATATGTACTATGAAAGCTTCTGGAACTGTGGGAAGGGACAGTAGGGTCTCAGGTGGTGGCCACTGACATACTATTCAGGACCACGGTTCGGATCTCCGTATATTCTATATATATATATATATATATATATTATATATATATATATATATATATATATATATATATATATATATATATATATATATATATATAATTTGAAAATTGCATAAATTTTAAATCTTCATTCTTGAATTTTTTAGCTATTATTATTAAGTTGCTGTTTATAAACTGGAGATTGTGTGATTAATATACATTAAGATTTTATTAATAGAATGGTTTTTGTGTGTTTATAAATAACAGACATTAATATAATTAGAATACAATTACGTTAGGTTAATATTAGAATACACAGCATTAGTATGGGATCCACACCTTGTCATGCATGTCAAGACATTGAAGAAAGTGCAGAGGTTTTGCAAGGAGAGTAATCCCGGAGCTAAGTGGGATGTCCTGTGAGGGGAGGTTAAGAGTGCTAAACCTGATGACATTAGAGGAAAGACTAGGGATGTAACTATGAGAGGAATTGATAGGATGGACAGGGGTGGATTCAAAAGGCGGGAAACAGGAACACAAGGGCACAGATGGGAGTTGGAAACATAGATGAATCACAGGATGCTTCTTCAGTGTTAGAGTAATCAGAAAGTGGAACGACCTGGACAGTTGAGTGGTAGAGGCAAGATAATACAAATCATTAAGAGGTGCGTAAAGGTTCTCGAAGCCAGGTGAACCCAGTAGCGGCTGGCGAGGAGGCCTTGCCAAGAGCTGAGACTCTACTCTTGCAACCACATATAGATGAGTACATGTGCTGGGGAGCGATCCCCGGTCCCTCAGTTGTGAGCTGATAATTATAATCACAACTAAGCGCTAAACCCCAGTTGTGAGCTGAGAACACCACCAACCGAGTTACAAATTTTAATATTAATAAGATAGTGTTTTGTGTGTACGAACACTAAATATTAAGATAATATTAACACTGTGTTGTGTATTGCAGGGTTGCACAGTATGATCCCGGATGAGTGTGCGGCCGGAGCCATGGACTCAACCAGGGATCCGGACGTGTGCGTGGACGAGGCCTCTAAATCGAAGAAAACGGGATGTGGGGGCGGTGATGGTGGTGGAGGGGAAGAACAAGACATTAACGATAACCACACTAAACTGTCCCCTCAGCACCAAGCTGCTACTGCTGCTGCTGCTGCTAGTATCTTGACCAATGGGGAAATACAAACTAAAGACAGTGAAAGTAAAGAGGCACTTGATGAGTCGAGTCGAACAAATGACAGTGAAGAAGAAAGAGACAATAAGATGGAAGTGGAAGAAACAGAGGAACCTCAGGTGGATGTTGAGGGTAGTGAAGATGAGAAAGATTCTAGTGAAGATGATGAAGATAAGTTAGTGATTAGCGAGGGAAATGAAAGGGGGACAGAGGAATCGGCTGATGAAAACTCCAAAGGAGGTAAGTTATAATAAAAGCGTGGAAGATTGGTGGTCTGTATATTTCAACGTCAAGCTGAGGTCCTCTTCAACGGATACTTCAGCTGCACGTTGAAATATACAGACAGTATATATGTAGATTATCTGTATATAGTATAGACTACCTTGTTTCAAAATCTGGAAGGGTTACGAACCAAATAAACATGGTGCAGTACTAGTTTAAGTGAATATAATTTTGTTGATTTATATAAGCGCCAATGTTGATACTATATTCAGCCCCTCTTCCTAGTCTTCCTCGAAGGAAATGTTGCTCATATCAGGGCAGGTATTGGGAAAGAAACAATGATTCTCTCCAAATACTGAAACAGGAACAAGTATTCCCATTTTAGTTGAGGTTCCATAATGACGAAAAGGGCATTTGATCCAAGGAATTGGATTTTTCTTTCTTTTCGTTGGGTTGAGCGTGATTGCTTCTCATTCTTCAGGCGCTGTATGATCCCTACCAGCTTACTGCTTCCCTTAAACATAATAATGGTAAGAGTATAAGACTTAAACTTTTTTGCCTTTGATGAGTTCTGAGAGATTTTCTACTCCACTTGTCCCAGCAGGGTTTCTGATATTTTTGGCAAGATGTTGGAATAGTCTGGAGCCAGGTACCCTTATTGTGCCCACCGCACCCTTGCTTTTCACTGGGTTTATTTTGCACTTCCTCCCATATCTCTCACTCCAGTATGTTATGGCAGTGTGCAGATTTGGGATCAGACCCTCAAGTACTTTCCTGGTATATATTATCACGTACCTCTATCTCTTCCACTCCAGTAATTTAAATGCTTTATTGGCTCTGTGTGGGCTGTAAATGATCTCTCCCCTCAAGGAAGGTTCCTTGATGTTGGTGAGGGGCTCTTGATTTAGGGAATTGGATCTGTGCTCCTGACCAGGTCGGCGATACGCACTCCACTTTCATACTTATCAATGATCTCTTTCTTCATTTCTATTGGAATTCTCACCCTTATTGGTGTAGGGTTAGCACTAGAAGCTTTCTTGGGGCCCATGGTCACTTATTTTCCAGAAACAGCACCGAAAACACTGTAATAATACGAAATATTCCGATTGTATGCTTGAATGTTACTGCGGAGGCTGGCTGGTAAACAATGGCACGGGCGGCACATGTGAGGCTGGCTGAGGGCGCACATTGGACGCGTCTCGGACGAAAATCGGTGAGCGGGTTTTTAAGTGGTATGCGAGGCAAAATTTTTGCGATTAAAGCAAGCGGTATGCGGATTAATCGCTATGTGGTGCCATCGGTATGCGGGGGTCCACTGTATATAGTGGATCCTCGGTTTTCATGATTAATCTGTTTGAGAAAGTCTGACGAAAACCGAATTGTACGAAAACTGAAGCAACATTTCCCATAAGAAATGGCGTAAATCCAATTACAGTGAACTCCTGCGTTCTGGCGGCCGTGACTTTCATGACATCCGACTTTCAAAATTTTTTGGCAAAATATATAAACACACACACACACACACACAGTGTTAATGGTATCTCATTAGTATTACGGATACACAGAAGTGAATTGTATTTCTGGGACATATAAACAACTGACGTGCTCACACACACACACACACGCGCGCACACACATACACACTCGGGGCCAGGAGCTGGGTCTCGACCCCTGAAACCACAACTAGGTGAGTACACACAGCTGATCCTTGGAATTTGACTGCCTCCCCCACAGACCTCTTACCTTTTCCCTCCCTCGCGTTTCTCTCTCTCATAGCCTTCTTCCCTCCTTTCTCCCTCTCTCTCTCTTTCTCTCCCTCTCCCTCTCCCTCTCTTTCTCCCTCTCTCTACCCTTTCTCTCCCCCCTCACATTTCTCTCCCTCCCCCTTGGTCTTATCCCTCACCCCCATACTCTCTCCTCTCCCTCCCTCTTTCTACCCTTTCTCTCCTCTCTCTCCCTCTTTCTACCCTCTCTCTCTCTCCCCCACACCCTCTCCCTCCTCTAGCCTTCTGTCTGTGGTAATAAAAAGTAAAAAAAAAAAAAAAAAATGGGTGGCCTTAGAGGACGGAAACCCAGAGATCTGGTGGACGAACCAGGGAGGAAAGACTGGGAGCTAGAGCTCCAAAAAAGGGAGGAAGAGTGGGGAAGGAAGATAGTAGAGCTTGGTAAGAAAATGGAGGAGCGGATAGCTGAAGAGTGCAGGAAGTGGGAAGTACAGGTCTTAGCAGCAGAAGCTAGGATACAGTGCTTAGAAGAGAAACTGCAAAGCCTGAAACAGATTAGAGAGACAAATGACAATTCAGGTGTGACATCAGGAAATTCAAAGTCAGGTGCAGACAAGGGGATGGTAAGCAACAACGGAGACATGCCGAACATGAAGGCCCTATCAGACCCACGTGGGGCCAGGGAAAAGACGACGAGCACACTAAGATCAAACGACAGGTCCGAAGACAATGAAGGTATGCTATATGCAGAGATTCTAACAGCCAACTGCAGTAGCAAGGGACAGCTGGTCAGGAAAGACAGTCCACTGAGAATAGAAGTTTCAGATATGACAGGGACTGAAGGCAAGAACATGTCAATGGAAGGAAATAAAATGCCTCAGAGGACGCAGATGGAGACTCAGTGGGAGGAGGAAAGGGCGAGGTCAGTTTTTGTGTACGGGCTCCAAGAAGCCAAGGGGGCCAACTTTGAAGAAATAAAACAGGAGGAGAAAAAAATGATTGAAGGCATCATGAAAACAATAGGGGAGGGCAATATGACCCAGGTGACAAATTTTCAGAGAATTGGGTGGTTTGCGAGTGGAAGGATACGGCCTGTCAGAGTAACTTTCAAGGAAGAATCAGTTCGAACCAGGATTCTGCAAGAGAAAGCAAGACTGAGGGACAAAGAGGGGTACCAGAGAGTATACCTCGACCGCGACAGAACACAAGAAGAAAGGACTACACTGAAAGAGAGGGTACAGAGACGCAAGGAGGAACGAGAAGCAATGAAAATGAGCAGGACCCAGACACAGGAGGAAGGGCAAACACACCCCACAGAATCTCCCACCAAAAGACTCCACCCGCGACATTCCCAACGCAACTGAGCAACCTATACTACAACCCACTCACTGTTCCCTCTGCCACCAATCCCCATATCACAAACCTCACCCCAACAGCTGTCCCTTATGGGCATTCTGACCCCACCCCCATCAACACAAACCCCACCTACACCACAGCCCCATATAGGCCCCCACCAAGGCTCTCGCTCCCCCAACCCCAATATTCTTGCATGACCACAATGATAGAAAAGAAACTAAAGGTTTGGTACACAAACGCGGATGGAATAATGAATAAACATGAGGAGTGGAATGAAAGAATCAGTGAAAAATCCCCAGACATCATAGCAGTCACAGAAACAAAACTCGCTGAGACAATAACAGACACAATCTTCCCAACAGGATATCAGATCCTGAGGAAAGATAGAAGGAGTAGAGGGGGAGGAGGGGTTGCACTGCTCATAAAACACCGATGGGGATTTGAGGAAATGGAAGGCATGGACATGATTGGAGAAAGAGACTACATTGTAGGTACAATTCAGTCCGGAGAACATAAAGTAGTCATTGGAGTGATGTATAACCCACCACAGAACTGCAGGAGGCCAAGAGAGGAGTACGAAGAAAACAACAGGGTGATGGTGGACACACTGGCTGAGGTGGCAAGAAGAGCTCACTCGAGCAGAGCAAAGTTACTGGTAATGGGCGATTTCAACCACAGGGAGATCGACTGGGAAAACCTGGAGCCACATGGGGGTCCCGAAACATGGAGAGCCAAGATGATGGATGTGGTACTTGAAAACCTCATGCATCAACATGTCAGGGACACAACCAGAGAGAGAGGGGAGGATGAGCCAGCAAGACTGGATCTTGTGTTCACCCTGAGCAGTTCAGACATTGAGGACATCACTTATGAGAGGCCCCTTGGAGCTAGTGATCATGTGGTTCTGAGTTTTGACTATATAGTAGAGTTACAAGTGGAGAAGGTAACAGGAGCTGAAGGGGACAGGCCAAACTATAAAAGGGGGGACTACACAGGTATGAGAAACTTCCTGCAGGAGGTTCAGTGGGACAGAGAAATGGTAGGAAAATCAGTAAACGAGATGATGGAATATGTGGCAACAAAGTGCAAGGAGGCAGAGGAAAGTTTTGTTCCCAAGGGAAACGGAAATAATAGGAAGACCAAAACGAGTCCTTGGTTTACCCGAAGGTGTAGGGAGGCAAAAACTAAGTGCAACAGAGAATGGAAAAGGTACAGGAGGCATAGGACCCAGGAAAACAAGGAGATTAGTAGAAGAGCCAGAAGTGAGTATGCACAGATAAGGAGGGAGGCCCAGCGACAATATGAAAACGACATAGCATCGAAAGTCAAATCTGACCCGAAACTGCTGTATAGCCACATTAGGAGGAAGACAACAGTCAAGGACCAGGTGATAAGGCTGAGGAAAGAAGGTGGAGAACTCACAAGAAACGATCAAGAGGTATGTGAGGAGCTCAACACGAGATTTAAGGAAGTATTTACAGTAGAGACAGGAAGGACTCTGGGGGGACAGACCAGATGGGGACACCAGCAAGGAATACACCAACAAGTGTTGGACGACATACATACAGATGAGGAGGAGGTGAAGAAACTGCTAAGGGACATCGATACCTCAAAGGCAATGGGACCAGACAACATCTCCCCGTGGGTCCTTAGAGAGGGAGCAGATATGTTGTGCGTGCCACTTACCACAATCTTCAACACATCCCTGGAAACTGGGCAACTACCTGAGGTATGGAAGACGGCAAATGTAGTTCCCATTTTTAAAAAAGGAGACAGAAAAGAGGCACTAAACTATAGACCTGTGTCATTGACGTGTATAGTATGCAAAATTATGGAGATTATCAGGAGGAGAGTGGTGGAGCACCTGGAACGGAACAGGAGTATAAATGCCAACCAGCATGGATTCACGGAAGGCAAATCCTGTGTCACAAACCTTCTGGAGTTTTATGATAAAATAACAGAAGTAAGACAAGAGAGAGAGGGGTGGGTTGATTGCATCTTCTTGGACTGCAAGAAGGCCTTTGACACAGTTCCTCACAAGAGATTAGTGCAGAAGCTAGAGCATCAGGGCATATAACAGGAAGGGCACTGCAATGGATCAGAGAATACCTGACAGGGAGGCAACAACGAGTCATGGTATGTAATGATGTATCACAGTGGGCACCTGTGACGAGCGGGGTCCCACAGGGGTCGGTCCTAGGACCAGTGCTATTTTTGGTATATGTGAACGACATGACGGAAGGGTTAGACTCAGAAGTGTCCCTGTTTGCAGATGATGTGAAGTTAATGAGGAGAATTAAATCTGATGAGGACCAGGCAGGACTTCAAAGAGACCTGGACAGACTGGACACCTGGTCCAGCAAATGGCTTCTCGAATTTAATCCTGCCAAATGCAAAGTCATGAAGATGGGGGAGGGGCACAGAAGACCACAGACAGAGTATAGGCTAGGTGGCCAAAGACTGCAAACCTCACTCAAGGAGAAAGATCTTGGGGTGAGTATAACACCGAGCATGTCTCCGGAAGCACACATCAATCAGATAACTGCTGCAGCATATGGGCGCCTGGCAAACCTGAGAACAGCATTCCGATACCTTAGTAAGGAATCATTCAAGACACTGTACACCGTGTATGTCAGGCCCATACTGGAGTATGCAGCACCTGTTTGGAACCCGCACTTGATAAAGCACGTCAAGAAACTAGAGAAAGTACAAAGGTTTGCGACAAGGTTAGTTCCAGAGCTAAGGGGAATGTCCTATGAAGAAAGATTAAGGGAAATCGGCCTGACCACACTGGAGGACAGGAGGGTCAGGGGAGACATGATAACGACATATAAAATACTGCGTGGAATAGACAAGGTGGACAAAGACAGGATGTTCCAGGGAGGGGACACAGAAACAAGAGGCCACAATTGGAAGTTGAAGACACAAATGAGTCAGAGAGATAGTAGGAAGTATTTCTTCAGTCATAGAGTTGTAAGGCAGTGGAATAGCCTAGAAAATGACGTAGTGGAGGCAGGAACCATACACAGTTTTAAGACGAGGTTTGATAAAGCTCATGGAGCGGGGAGAGAGAGGGCCTAGTAGCAACCGGTGAAGAGGCGGGGCCAGGAGCTAGGACTCGACCCCTGCAACCACAAATAGGTGAGTACAAATAGGTGAGTACACACACACATACACACACACACATACACACACACACACACATACACACACACACACACACACATACACACACACATACACACACACACACACACACACACACACACACACTTTTTTATTTTTTTTATTTTAATTATAGGGTCCACCTCTGGTGCAAATTGTGGAACCCATAACCTCAGAGAAATGGATAAGAAGGTTTCAAGGAAGAATATTGGATTTCTTCCTGAAGCCATTTGAATACATGTATTCCACTTCCCCTACCACCCCATCTTTTCATTCTTTTTTACCAATAGGCATATTTTATTACATAATATGGTACAGAAGATTTAAGGGAAACATTGCTGATACAAAGATGGCATATGCAGTACATGAGGTGTGAGAGATACATGTCTAGTACACATTTTTACACGTTTGTCACTGATTATAATGCGAAAATCTCATTCAGCTCCTCAGAGCTGGGGCGTGTGCCCAAAATACAGCAAGCATTACCTCTCTGTACAGTTGCACTGAGTCGCTGGAACAGAAAACTAGCTGCCTTGGGATCCCTAGTTACCCTGATGAGTCTTTTGCATAGCTCCTTAAGGAACTTAGATGCACTCTTTCCCCATGAGCCAAGGGTCTCTGAGCCTATTACCTGGAGTTTACCTGGAGAAAGTTCCGGGGGTCAACGCCCCCATGGCCCGGTCTGTGACCATATAATGATGGGCAAGTTCTCCATATTTTCTAGATTTTTGGGACTCCCTGAAGCTGGAGGCTGTCCCTCCTTCCTGGTGTATTGGAGATAGGTATCAGCCAAGGTAGATGCACATGTTTAGTCCCACACCACCTGCTTATCGTCTGTCCAGGCTTGAAAGGTGACACCATCTGGATGCTTCTGGCTGCCATCAGATCTGCATAGTTGGGGTGGCTCCCTTACTGCTGGGCATCCGGCTGTTGTGAGGCTCCTCTTGATAATGTTATTAATCTCCTCGTGTCTTGCAATTTTTTTTGTAATACAATAGTTATTTTAATTCATTCATTATACATTCCTTATCTATTCATTCTTTGAAATTGTTACACTATTCCATGAAATAAGAAAACAGTAATAATGACTTTGATAATTTTATTTTTCAGAAGCCCCATTAATATCACAGAAAAGTCCAAGTAGATCACCAACTCCAAAGGGGAGTGAAAAGCGACCGGCAGAGGATGAAGCAGCTCCTGAAGTTGCAACCAAGAGACCAAGGCCCTTAGAGGACATGGTATCTCTTGAGTCTCTAACATCAGTGTCACAGGTTGAGGGTTCTCTTGGTCAAGTGAAGCGTGATCTAGAGGTACGTAAAGAAATATTAAATTTTTGTAATTTGAAGACAATTGTGTGTCTCCAAATATCACACCAAACATCTATTCAGTAGATGTTCCAGCAACTTGCAGACTACTCCAGTAAGAGCAAGGGGTTGATAGTGAGAGGAATCATGGCCCAAAATGCCTAGTTTATGAAAAGACAGAACAACGACAGTTTTACATGTAATGCTCGTAAGTAACTTATAGATGGTTCTCGAGATGATCACGCCTGCTGCCCCGTCCCAGACCAGGTTTCCCTGTAGACAGTTTGATCAGTCAGGCTGAATGTGCTCACTGCAGGAAGCCCAGCATGAATACTACAATCCAGTTGATTAGGAGTCTCCTTCAGATATTTGTCAAACTCCTCCTTGAGGATAATTAGAATTCTTTTGAGAAGTCACCTTGTACAAGTGTAATACAGGTCTGCATTTGATGGGAGGGCATTAAAACATATTGATCCCTTGGTGCTTATTGAGTTATATCAGTGTACTTAACTTATGGATTTGGAAACGGCGTATGACAGGGTGGATAGGGGGGCAATGTGGCAGATGTTGCAGGTGTATGGTGTAGGAGGTAGGTTACTGAAAGCAGTGAAGAGTTTTTACGAGGATAGTGAGGCTCAAGTTAGAGTACATAGGAAAGAGGGAAATTATTTCCCAGTAAAAGTAGGCCTTAGACAAGGATGTGTGATGTCACCGTGGTTGTTTAATATATTTATAGATGGGGTTGTAAGAGAAGTAAATGCGAGGGTCTTGACAAGAGGCGTGGAGTTAAAAGATAAAGAATCACACATAAAGTGGGAGTTGTCACAGTTGCTCTTTGCTGATGACACTGCTCTTGGGAGATTCTGAAGAGAAGTTGCAGAGATTGGTGGATGAATTTGGTAGGGTGTGCAAAAGAAGAAAATTAAAAGTGAATACAGGAAAGAGTAAGGTTATGAGGATAACAAAAATATTAGGTGATGAAAGATTGGATATCAGATTGGAGGGAGAGAGTATGGAGGAAGTGAATGTATTCAGATATTTGGGAGTGGATGTGTCAGCGGATGGGTCTATGAAGAATGAGGTGAATCATAGAATTGATGAGGGGAAAAGGGTGAGTGGTGCACTTAGGAGTCTGTGGAGACAAAGAACTTTGTCCTTGGAGGCAAAGAGGGGAATGTATGAGAGTATAGTTTTACCAACACTCTTATATGGGTGTGAAGCATGGGTGATGAATGTTGCAGCGAGGAGAAGGCTGGAGGCAGTGGAGATGTCATGTCTGAGGGCAATGTGTGGTGTGAATATAATGCAGAGAATTCGTAGTTTGGAAGTTAGGAGGAGGTGCGGGATTACCAAAACTGTTGTCCAGAGGGCTGAGGAAGGGTTGTTGAAGTGGTTCGGACATGTAGAGAGAATGGAGCGAAACAGAATGACTTCAAGAGTGTATCAGTCTGTAGTGGAAGGAAGGCAGGGTAGGGGTCGGCCTAGGAAAGGTTGGAGGGAGGGGGTAAAGGAGGTTTTGTGTGCGAGGGGCTTGGACTTCCAGCAGGCGTGCGTGAGCGTGTTTGATAGGAGTGAATGGAGACAAATGGTTATTAATACTTGACGTGCTGTTGGAGTGTGAGCAAAGTAACATTTATGAAGGGGTTCAGGGAAACCGGCAGGCTGGACTTGAGTCCTGGAGATGGGAAGTACAGTGCCTGCACTCTGAAGGAGGGGTGTTAATGTTGCAGTTTAAAAACTGTAGTGTAAAGCACCCTTCTGGCAAGACAGTGATAGAGTGAATGATGGTGAAAGTTTTTCTTTTTCGGGCCACCCTGCCTTGGTGGGAATCGGCCAGTGTGATAATAAAAAATAACTTAACTTACCAGTTCCTTTCACTGAAAGTATTTTTTGCTCATTCAGACTGCTTATTTTTGCCAGCACTGTACATACTGATTTGAAACCAGTCTCTCCAACATCTTTCAAGTGTATACAGTGGACCCCTCACCTAACGATATTAATCGGTACCCAAAAACGAATATCATAAGGCAAGTTTTTTAGCGTTAGCCGAGGCAAAAATGTTAGTGTTAAAATGTATCGTTAGGCGAATTTAACGTTATGCGATGCGTTTGCTAGGCGAGGGTCCACTGTATTATGATTTATCTTTCTTGTCTATGATCAGAGCAATACAGTTTGAGGAATTTTAGGGATTCCCGGTAAAATAAGGGTTTGACGGAATTTATACAGGCAGTAAAATTTCTCTGTACATTTTCTAGATTTGTAGTTTCACCCATGGTATCCCTTCCAAGGTCTATGCTGTAGTATGTACTACAGCTTGGAGCTCAGGTTTTTGGCATACTATGTGATGAGCTCAGCTCACTCAGATAAACAGTGAACGGTAAATTTGGGCCTAGATATGAGAGAATGGGTCTGTGCAGTGAGTGTGTACCATATAAAAAAAAAAATCCTGCCCCGTGCCATGCATGATGGGAAAAAGCTAAATGTATTTAGTTTAAAATGACGACTTTGCCATGTTTTTTTTTTTTTTTTCAACAAGTCGGCCGTCTCCCACCGAGGCAGGGTGACCCAAAAAAGAAAGAAAATCCCCAAAATGAAAATACTTTTATCATCATTCAACACTTTCACCTCACTCACACATTCACTGTTTTTGCAGAGGTGCTCAGAATACAACAGTTTAGAAGCATATACGTATAAAGATACACAACATATCCCTCCAAACTGCCAATATCCCAAACCCCTCCTTTAAAGTGCATTCATTGTACTTCCCATTTCCAGGAGTCAAGTCTGACTATATGAAAATAACCGGTTTCCCTGAATCCCTTCACTAAATATTACCCTGCTCACACTCCAACAGATCGTCACGTCCCAAGTACCATTTGTCTCCATTCACTCCTATCTAACACGCTCACGCACGCTTGCTGGAAGTCCAAGCCCCTTGCCCACAAAACCTCCTTTACCCCCTCTCTCCAACCTTTTCGAGGACGACCCCTACCCTGCCTTCCTTCCCCTATAGATTTATATGCTTTCCATGTCATGAAATTAAGCTCAGAATAGTGGACACATTTGATTTTTGCCAATGTTCCAGAGGACACGAATCACGTCGCTTGTCCAATACATGTCCAACTGGTTGGTCTAATACACGTTCATGAATGTTCTGACACTATTTACACAATTATTACAATAGTACAGTAGTATGCATAACAGTAACTCTTTACTTTTTGTGAATAAAAATTCAAAATGGAAAGCAAGTGTAGTATAAGAGAGGCCTAGGATGTAACCAGTGAACAGAGAAAATGTTGTTTTAGCGTCTACATTGTTTATTCTGGACCCTATTTTTAAATTGCCATTTTTTAATTTTGTGTGAATTTGGTCATATTATCATTTTTCTAATTATTGGGTAGTTGATGTAGTTAAATGGGCGGTTTCTTGTACTGAGTCGATAGAATGGAAGGCATACTAGTGAAATAGCTGAGAGTTTGGTCAACTGGAACAATGGAATTATCGTAAAATAGGAATCAAATTGATCGAAATTGCCGAGACTGCTGACTTTGCAAAAGCATAATTCCATAAGTTTTCCATCAAATTTCCTACTTTTGGTGTCATTACCTTTGGAAAAAGATTCCCTATTGTTTCATGAGTTTTTTTTTTTTTTTCATTCTTGGAGTATGGACCCATAAAAGGTTAAATAGAGATGTCAGTTACAGTATTTCAGGTTAGAAATTAAAAGTGCTTTAATCCTTAAACTGTTAGGTAAGACACATATGCAACAGTTAGGTATCTAACTGTTGCATATGTGTCTTACCTAACAACCTGTCGGTATTTTATACCATTTTAATGTTCAATCCTTAAACTGTCCAAACGTAGATATACGTTTGCCTGCACAGCGCTCCGAATATTTTGAAAAATAAAAAATAGTTTTTTTGTTTTTAAATTGAAGAGCGCATTTTTATAAATGGTATAGGATAAAAAAAAAAATTAGGGTCAGTACTTAGAGATATAAGCCTGCAAAGTTGGTGCTAAATGACGAGGTGTCTGTAACACGGAGCACTGCCACTTGCAGAAATAATAAACATTTATTGTTTTTTTCCAATTCTTTTCTATTTTTTGTTGTTTTCATGTTATGATAATAATGTTTTGTTGCAGATCTTTTGATTTCATAGCAAATTATTGTTGAGACACAAATGTTTGGTACTGAATTAGTAATCATACTGTCACAAATGCACATGTTCACACTGATAAATGAATTTGTACACCTGGTTCAATCACATAATTTTGTTTACATATACTATATAGAAGGTATTTACAAGTCCCATTTATGTTTCTAGAAGTCCACCACTGTATGGTACTTCAAGAAGCATGGATTCATACAGAGTGCCACCGCACATTGCTGACACATGTATCGTGTGTCTTTTCGCACTTGGGGTCACTGTTTAGTGTAAGCAGACGCAAGTGAAACAAAGCTGAAGGGGGTGGGAGAGTTTCAGTGGAGAGGAATAAATGGGATTAGGTCAGGGGTTTCAAATAGAGTTAGAGCTAAAGAAGGAGTAGCAATAATGTTGAAGGATAAGCTATGGCAGGAAAAGAGGGACTATAAATGTATTAATTCAAGGATTATGTGGAGTAAAATAAAGATTGGATGTGAAAAGTGGGTTATAATAAGCGTGTATGCACCTGGAGAAGAGAGAAGTGTAGAGGAGAGAGAGAGATTTTGGGAAATGTTGAGTGAATGCGTGGGGAGTTTTGAATCAAGTGTGAGAGTAATGGTGGTTGGGGATTTCAATGCTAAGTGGGTAAAAATGTTATGAGGGAGTAGTAGGTAAATTTGGGGTGTCAGGGTAAATGTAAATGGGGAGCCTTAAATTGAGCTATGTGTAGAAAGAGATTTGGTAATAAGTAATACATATTTTATGAAAAAGAGGATAAATAAATATACAAGGTATGATGTAGCACGTAATGAAAGTAGTTTATTAGATTATGTATTGGTGGAAAAAGGTTGATGGGTAGGC